GCCGGAACACGCTCAGCCTTAGAGCCACAGGGCAGCCCTGGAGCCAGCGAGGCCCCCCACCCGCCGTCTCTTCCCCGCCCCCTGGCTGGCGTCCTGGGGGAAAGGGAAGCGCTTCTCCTGCCTTTTTCCTTTCTCAGTGGTCAGCAGGGATGCCGGGTACTCGCCGTCTCCTCTTCACGTGCCCAGGGGGTGGGGCGGGCCCTTTCCCGCCAAAACCTCCTTTTATGTCCTCTCCTCTATGCCCCTTTCCTCCTCCTTTTCTCTTCCGGGCACCTCCAGCTCCCGGAAGCACCAATCAGCTGGAGCCCGGCGCTGATCCTGGCGCCTCTGCCAAGCCCCGACAGCTCTGCAGCTCCAGCTGTCTCTCCCTCGGGCTTCTGTAGTGCTGCCACCGCTTCAGCTCATTCCTCTCCCCCTCAGCTACCACTTCTCTAGGACGGTCGCATACCACCTGCCAGGTGGCAAAGTACCACCGGTTGAAAAGCCCTGCTCTAGAGTCTAGCTACTCAGGTCACCTACCATCTTCTAGCTGTCCCCCTTCTTACCCACCTTTCCTGGTAGCCTCTTCAACCTTTCTACCGTATTTTTGGTGGCTATTAGCTACCTGTTGGTAACTCACCTTGGTGACTGCATCCTGCAGGACAGTCTTTCCCCTTTCCCCACATAATCTTCAGCTGCTGGTTTACTACAGTTAAATAGGGATTAACTGTAGTAAACCTAGCAGCTGAAGATTATGTGTTCAAAGAGCTGTTCTCTTTGAGGAAAAGATCCCAGTTGGCAAACCTTTTATTAAGTTGCTTATAGCATCATTATATCACATTTCCTGCATAGCTTTTTAGAAATAAATAAGGTTGATTTAGGAAATGAATAAACTTGTCCTTGATCATACCTAGTTATTCCTAACATCCTCCTTTCACCGGGAATGGTACTCTTGTACAGAGGGTAGCATGCTGCTGCCTCTTTCCCTCCCTGTCAATACTTCGTTTCCCCCCCACACACACACACATCTGCCATTTAATGGCTTCTAACCTAACTCTCCTGTGCACTCAAAATACAACTTTGATGACATCTGCTAATATTTGCTGATTTGGGCATCTTGCAAACTGTTTCTGTTTTAATCCACGTTGGCCGAAGACTACAGCATTTTCACCCATGATGGTTTATTAATCTCCCTTTCATTCATGTCGCTCTTGTGCAAATGGTGGTATGCAACTGTACTTCTACTGTCTTATGGTCATTTGGAGTCTGGAGCCGGGTTCCAGACATCGTTGTTCAATAAGGGACAGCGCTGTAACAAACTGGAGCAAGTTCAGAGAGGAGGTCTCCCGAGGTGAGGAAAGAGCTGCATGAGGAACGCTTAAGGCAGTGGTTCTCAACCTGTGGGTCGGGACCCCATTTGGGGTCGATCGACCATTTCACGGGGGTCGCCAAGCAAGGCTGTCCGCCATTTTTTTTGTCCACCATTTTTTCCCCTTTTCCGGCGGGTGCCTTACCTCCCTTGGGCTGGGCCAGCTGGTGGTCGGCCTGCTCCGTCTCTGCCGCTTGCCAGCTACGCCTCGGCCGGCACAGGGGGCGGAACCACGCATGCGCGGCGCTCCTGGGCAGGGAAAGTCCTCAACTTACGATCGGTTGGGTAGTCCTCAACTTACAACCGGTTTAGTCCTCGACTTACGACCGGTTGGGGTCGCGGCATTAAAAAGGTTGAGAACCACTGGCTTAAGGGGTCTGGGCAGGATTAGCCTGCAGGACAGGTGACTCGGGGAGGCAGCAGCCTTGAAACTTGTCCTTCCTGCACCGAGTTTGCTGACTTCCGGTAGGAGTTCAGCATCTTGTTGGAGCTGAGGTGCTCTGGACCCCCGGCAATAAAATTCAGAGAACAGGAACCATACGAGTCCCCCTTTTGGCAGATCAGGGCAGGGCTTGTTCAGGATCCTCTTCATTCTGAGGTCTCAAGCTTTTGCTAGAGGCGATCGCTTTTTGGGACTGCTGATGAGAGTTGGGATCTTTCAGTGCTCCAGCTAATCGCGGTAGAGCTGACCTTGGAAAGGTACGAGAGAGCGGTTATGGGGGCCTCGGATGATGGCAGTCTGGAGAAAGAAACTCCTCCTAATCTCACCTTGGTTTGGTTTAATTAATATAAGAGAGGAGAGGGAGGAACTTGGAGAGGCTTTCGGAGTTCTGCTAACTTTCCTTACTAAGGATACCAACCTTGTAGGTGATTCTCAGTTCCTTTCTTACACCTTCCTCAAGATCAGCTCCATGTTCCCTTACCTCTTCTGCTCCTTCTGAGGGACAGTTCCGGGAGATGGCTGGAGGGGACAGGCCTGGGCAGAGGCCTTGGGGACAGCTGTTCCTTAATCCTCCGCCCCAGACATATCCAGTCGGGGCTCCCAGTCTGGCGTCGGGACACAGTCCAGGCGCTGCCGAGTGGGGCTCAGTGGGACTCCTCTTTGCTCTTCAGGAGTGCCTGTGGTCCCCGGGACAGACGCCCCCATCTCCTCTCTGAGCGAGGCGCAGGAGTTCTCGCAGGTGTACGGCTTCCCCATCATCTTCAAGGCTGCCTATGGCGGAGGAGGACGGGGCATGAGGGTTGTGCGCAGCTACGAGGTAGGGCACATGGCTCGGCTTGTGGGGCCTTGAACTCGGGGAAGAAACTGGGCCAAGCAGGTCACGGCAGGGGAGGCCGTCCATATTTGTGTCAGAAGCACCCACAAAGCTAATCGAAGGGTGACTCCAGGTTGAGAGGATTTGTCGGTGACAACACCATTGCCCAGGGGACACCTGGTTGCCAAAAATAATGCAATCTTTGAGGAGGCTCCTTTCCTGTCCCCTGTTGGGGGGGCATCCCCAGCTGGGGACAGGAGGGCCTGGGTTGAGGATGGGGTGTCAAGCCGGATCCCCTTTTTTTCTGGGCAGGAGCTGGAAGAGAACTACACCCGGGCGTTCTCCGAGGCCCTTTCTGCTTTTGGCAATGGTGCTCTCTTTGTGGAGAAGTTCGTGGAGAAGCCAAGACACATCGAAGTCCAGATTTTGGGTATGGAACAAAATAGATGTGTGCCCCCTCTTTGTCTGGAGGGTAGCAGTGAGAGATGATTTCGGTAATCTGAGAAAGATGGATGGAAAAATAAATATTTTATTATAGATTATATAAAAAGAAGATTAATTTTGCTGAAACAATTTAATTAAAAGAAATGTAACATGTTTATTATGGTCATTGACTAGAAAAGTAAATAAATAAATTATGCTAAATAAGTCTTCTGACTAAAGAAATATACTGGCCAGATAATTTATGAGTTTAATCATTTGAGTGACTAAGTCGAAGCTTTTAGGAAAAGAAGAGGTTGTGGCGTGTGGCAGGGAATTCCTCGATACAGACAGTCCCCGTGTGTGCACGTCGGGAGGCTGCCCGCTTAGCACAGCTGGCTTGTCCCGTCCCAGACGGGGAGGGAGCCTCCACCTTGGCCCAGCTTCATCTTTGGCCTGGTTTCTCCTCCTCCTTGGCAGGTGACCAGCATGGGAATGTGGTGCACCTGTACGAGAGGGACTGTTCCATCCAGCGACGGCACCAGAAAGTGGTGGAAATCGCCCCAGCCGCCCACCTCGACTCCCAGCTGCGCTCTAAGCTCACTGCTGACGCCGTCCGCCTAGCCAAGCAGGTGAGGGACTGCAAGCGGCCCAGCCATCTGGGG